GTACAACATATGTACACAGTCTGCAGTATCATTATCTTGCTCCCAGATTTCTTTGGATAACAGAAAGAGTAAGAACAGAATCTCAGTATACAGAAATATCTTTAATTCATAAAAGATTTACAATATTTTACATATGACACATACTGTGTGTAAGGCAGGGTAAAATATCTTTGGCACACTCCTCAGTTTCCTGTTGATATAGACAGAAAACATACAAAATGCTTTAAAAAATACATCTCTATGAAGTCTTTTATTCTCTGCATTCAAAGATAAGTAGTAGGATTACTGTCCCTTTTTGGCTGATTTGTCTCTTATGTACAGTTATTGTCTCTTATGTACATTGTGCTTGTTTATCTGGCAAACAAGGTTTAAGGATAGCTGGGTGAAAACAACACGGTTACACACACACACACACACATACATACATTCTTTGGGATTCCTGCTGTTGAGGATGGAGTCCACAGCATCATTAGTGTTAGGGCGACATCTCTGCTGGCTCAAAGTTGGACACACTAAGGCACTTTCAGGCAAAAACTCCCCTTAACTCCAACATGTTAGAATACATGAACATATGAAAATGACAAACGTGTAATGCATAAGTATTACATGGTAAAGTGCACATCAAATGTCTTTGGTTTAATAGTTATTGCCCTGATTATTTCTCATAAAGAGAGAGACACCTGTCTGACTCTTCAAAAAATACTGTCTCCATGCTCAGCACATCTTTGGAAGCTTCCAGTTAACTTTGGCTTTTTGGCTCTTTAGCTTTTCAGCTGATTAAGGCAACTTGTTACATTTTACAAACGGTGAAGTACTAAAGCCATCACCCAGAAGTGCCCTCTTTGCTAGAAGTAACATATGACACTGTGACTGAACTCAAAGTCCTGGGTGGATGCAGGAGCTCAACTCCTGACTCTCTTCAATCCCATCAAAGTCGAATAAGTGCCCTTGTTGATAAATCTCCCTCAGAGTCTCAGAGGAGCTCCCTCTCACTTCTCGTCGCTCACGGAGCAGTCCACGGCTATGATATCCTGTATCTCCGTGATTTTAACCATCTCCTCCGGGATCTCCACCTCTATCGGGATCTTCAGCTCCTCTGGGATCTTCTCTGCAGAGGAACTGCGGCTGGACAGTTTGTCCATCTCGTCCTCCAACTCGTTGATGCGTTCGGCGACGCAGTGGGCGGTGAGCCGGGCCTCGGGGTCGTGGTCCCAGCATTCCATGATGGTGGCACAGATCACCGCCACGCCCTGTAGGGGGAGGAAGAGAGCGGGGATGTGAGACTCCACACTGAATGAAACTCCTTGAACTGTTTGGGTAAAGGCAGCAGCTTCTCAACTGACCTCAAGTTATTTTAATGCAATGTAACAATAACCATATAGTTGTAATGTAACACATTTGTTCACACATAGTTATGTTATACATAGGCTGCAACTAACAGTTATTTACAATATCAGGTAATCTGCCAATCATTTCCTCAATTAATCGAAGAAACCAGAAAATATTTAAATCTGAGAAGCTAAAATCAGAGAATTTCTTTTTCTTTAAAATATAACTCAAAACAATCCATTATCAAATTAGTTGATTAATAATAATAACTAACTAACTTTAATAGTCGACAACTATTCGATTAATCGACTAATCGTTGACACAACTTGGCAGTATAATAAGAATTTCAGTGGTCATGGTTCTATAAATAGTGTGTATGTTTCCCTTAATACATGACTCCCATCAATTTTGAATTACTTGTACTTGTAATAAAAATTTACTTACTTACTTACTTAACACACGTATTTCCATTTTATGCTACTTTATACTTAATACATTACATATATACATTTCAGAGGGTAACATTGTACTTTTTACTGGACTACATTTTGCTAACAACTTTAGTAGTAGTAGTTACTTTGCAGACAAGATTTAGATAAAATAAAAAACAACACATTGTTAGAGATTAAACAATTGGTTTCCAGTCTTTTTAGCTTGTGACTCCTTAGAAAATAGCAAAGATTAGATAAAAGAGCAAAGAATGAAGATAAATGTGTACAGCAGAACTCATTAATCATCTTATGGTCCCCTGATTTATCTCGTGGCTCTTTGGAGGGGTCCCGACCCCTAGGTTGGAAACCACTGGACTAAAATCTAAATAAAGAAGCTTAAAGTAGCTGCGTAACGATGGCTGCAGCTTTTCAAACCTGTGGTAGCCGCAGAGACAAAGGATTGCTTCAATTTCATAGTTTCATTTGGCATTGCAATATTCTGCCCCTGCTGCTCAACTCAAGCTTCTGATGTATCTATCCAAAACATAAAGTGAAATATATGCAGATGTTCATGAGTATGTGAATGTTTCTGTGTAAGTGACTACAAATATGTATGATATTGCAGCAGCGCCAGAGTCAGAGTGTAATAATTAACAATACGGTCAGAATAATGAGGCTACTTGGAATATATCATATTCTGTGTCTGTATTCGTGCATTTAAAGATATCAAGACTCATCACATAAAGTCTGAACCACTGGCGCTGGAAGCAGGGGTGCTAAGGGGTCTGCAGCATCTAACATCTGGCTTAATGAAAACCATTAGTTCATAAAAATGTTTAAACTTATGACTTTCTCCTTTTTTACTGGGATTTACACATGTGCACTGGTATTTGTGGCAGGAAAGAGGTTTTGGCTTGTTTTTTATCAGTTTTATCCACTAAAAAGTTATACCATTTGCGTAACATGTTGTTAATAACTATTAAATAAGCTTTAAATGATCCTGGCCAGTCAAATTAATGATGTCATTATATAGACAGATTTTCTCTCAGTAGCCCAAAGCTGTGATTGACTTCCAACAAAAGTTTAAAATGAGCCTTTTGGCTAAGACAAGCACTATTAACACCATTTATAATGATGTTGACTTGTGTGCTTTGTTTATATAAAAATAAACAATATAAAACTGTAAATCCCTACAGAATATATAACCTTGCTACAGATAGTGTCTGTGTGTACAGTGTGTATATCTGACCTGATGCTGGAGCCAACTGTCGGGGATCTCAGGTCTCCCTCTGTCTCTCAGCACGTTGTCCTTCATGCTCTCCACACAGGGGTGCTCTCGCACTTTAGAGCCATACGCAGGCTCATAGTCCTTCACCTCTGCAAACACAAACAAGACCCGTGGATCAGATATGGACCGCAAATCATATGTCAGGTTGTCTGTGCCATTGTGTTCCTGTCATTTGCAAGATGTAGATGAGTCAACACGAACACAAGACAAGGGCACATTTCATTAATAATTAATGATACCGGGAAAATACTAAGGTAAAAAAAAAAAAAAAGTAAAAGGGGAAGACAGGTTGAAACAGTGTGAAACAGGTGGCATGATGAGTTAATGTGATCTGCAAAAGCATCCTGGTATGAGGTCATTCCACACCAAACCACTGAGCTGTTAGTTTCCCCCTTGCTGTCAGCTTTGTACACTGGCACCAATAATGCTGACAGTAGGAAATAAAATGTCTTTTATGATGTCTCCATGGGAGGGTAAATGCTGGCCCTGGCACTTGAACAATGATTGTTTCTAAAAAAACAACAAATCAGCTTCCGCTAACAAGCAATTAGCGGCGCCCGTCCAGAACACCAAAATCACAATCTGTCATTTAAATTTTTTTTCTTTACTGTTTTATGTTGAAGAACTAGCCGGGAAAAAGAGAGAGCGTAACGCCGAAACCATGAAAAATGAAAAACAAAGTTCCGGGATTGGGTCCAGACCTCATGAAACTGAACTCACAACAGCTGCAGTCTGTCTTCAGCCCCAAAGAGAAAGCTCTCAGGATCTCACAGTTGCTGTGAAATGAGACACTAGTTGCTGCAAAGTCATCATCCTTTACCCATCTGAGCCAGAAAATGACACACGTATTTAACAAACAGTACAAGCCTCACGCTCTACGTCCTGTATTTCACAGCCTGTCAAACACAGTATTATTCACCTATGTGTACTCTTAGGTGTGTTACATTTGGCAGCATCTGAGCTTTTCTTCTTTCTTCAATCAAGGTGAATCATGACTGCAGCACTAGAAGTCCACCCTTCCCCTAAAACACAACAAGTGTTCTGGTCCTTCCAACTGTGTTCTCACACATACATCTACGACTAAAAGATTTTCTTCCAATCAAATGTGTCAAATCCGAGGTGCCAAATTCATTCTTGACCTTGGAGACAGAAATAATCTAACCACGTGGTCAATGTAGTTGCTGTTCTGGAGCTTTCAGCCATATCACATGGTCTTCATCAGCAGATGGATACTGGCAAGTTGTAATGGAACCGAAACAGCAACTGTTCAATCATAGCTTAGCGACCACAATTAGGCACAGCAGGTCTGTAAAGCTATAGATTTCTCCTCAAGTTAAATGGACCTGTAGTCCACTGCATAAATGATATTTCTGAGTAAGTGAGATCATCTTAAAGATCCCCTCCAGACATGTATGTAGAAATAGTCTGCTTGGAACAATAATGTGTGTCTGATATGTGTTTTCTTCAAAGAAATGTCCTCCATTAAAATTGGTTCATTAAAGGTTCATAAGTTCATTAAAACTTCCAGAATCTGTGAATATGCAAATGTTCATTTCTAAAGTTTTCCTGCTGGACACAAGATGTCTCCTACTTCACTGTAAAGTCCATTCTCAGTGGATGTGCACTGGTGGCTTCAAGTTTCTACATCACACTGTACAAGTTGAT